TATATATATATATATATATATATATATATATATATATATAGTCATTAGCGTACTCTGTCAAATAGGCACACACCTCCGTACCGAGAGTACGTCAGAAAAGTGACTACTTAAGGCCATTCAAAATCAGCTTTTTTCCAGGTCGTGAAACCCCGCTGGTTTCAATATGCAGACTACTTTGTTTAACACCAAGGATTTCAGGTTCTGGATCAAGCGGAGCGCTTGTGTATGGTGAGAGGACCACTTCCGAAAATTTCTACCAATGGTTAAGCTGTCAAGATTCTGACCATAATATTGATCAGTTTTCCATATTGCGCAAGCTGATAGTTAACCTATACGTCATCCATCGGTATGCCCAAATTCATCCTGAATGAGTAGGTCAACGAAATAGGGTGCACCCCGGAGGAAAGCGCCATTAATGTGGGAGGACTGTCATGTACTAAGATAGAAACCAGTAGGAGAGGAACTTCCTTGGAAGATGGCATAAGTTTTGTGCCACGAACGAGCCTCTGATTAAGTTGGAGATACTGGAAGAAATGTATACTCCCAGTAGAGTAACGGCGCACCTCGTTAAGAGGTGGAATGTATCAGAAACGTAAGAACTGATTGCCGCTGTGTTTGGACAACTAGTGGGAACCGGACAGGCATAATTTTTTGCGAACATATACCTTTACGACCTGAAACTACCTGAAACTGGCTAATAAGCTGTTTGTGGTGTACTTTTACAAAGTTCACGGCCATGGACTGTCTGCTCGGACTCCCAGCTTTGTCATATGAAGTGAATGATGTAGACGACCTTTGGATATCTGAGATCCAAGTTGCAATGGAAAGGCAATTCCGTCGATTGTGTGGTTCTCAGGTGAAAGGAACCTGTTACCATGTGGTTTTAGAATGGTTCTAGATGAAGACAAGTTTTGAAACTGAACACATCGAAGAAGTCCATCTTATTTCACATTTTCTATTCAACAAAAGCAGCCTTCATCCTCTCGGTTTGTAGGCAATGACGTCGGTTTTCTTTTACCATGTTGAAGCTCTGTCAAGTGCTTTGGACAAAGTTCCGTTGGCACCAAATCAGTGCGAACTAATCACAGCGAATCCCACGCCGACCGGGGACGGATTCTCGGCAACCTTTCCCATCTAGGCATCTTCAAATGCCTAATATTGTGTAAGGTATAGGGAGGCCCGTCTACCATATTTTTATGTTTTAGTCTCTGGACAGCGATTGAAGTAGAGGACAAACTCGCTAAGAAGCGTTTTCTCATGTGCTTGAGAATAGGGCTAAAACTGTATTGTTCTCAAAGAGCACCATATCGGATGAAGACCTATAGACAGTTCAACAAAAACAGCCTTCATCCTCTTGGTTAGTAAACAATGACGTCTGTGTTCTTTTACCATGTTGAAGCTCTGTCGAGTGTTCCGGACAGAGTTTTGTTCGCACCATAGCAAACTCCCCACCGACTAGGAACGGATTCTCGGCTACCTTTCCCATCTAGACATCTTCAAATGCCTAATATTGTGTAAGGTATAGGGAGGCTCGTCTACCATATTTTTATGTTTTAGTCTCTGGACAGCGATTGAAGTAGAGGACAAACTCGCTAAGAAGCGTTTTCTCATGTGCTTGAGAATAGGGCTAAAACTGTATTGTTCTCAAAGAGCACCATATCGGATGAAGACCTATAGACAGTAAACGAGTAGAACACTCTGATTTTAATGATAATAGGCGGTGGGTATGAAGCCAGCAAGCCCATTGTCAACTGAAACACAGAAGAGAAGATTGAACTACGCTGACACCACCAGTCAATCAAAAGAGACCACAAGTTCGCTCGCACTCAACCCAGTGGGTACTACCAGTAGGATAGACGGAGTGCTTGGGAACAGAATTCAGACGGTGCTGAATATCCAAGCGTTGAAATCGGTCTAGGACTGCACGCCGGACTTTTACGTTCGTAACTCTTGTTCTCAGTACGTCGGCATCCTACATTCAGTGAAATACGCGTTTCTCTGAGGAGAGGCCTAGTTGTATGGTTTGGAACAAAGCGATTAACGGTCAGAATGACTTCGCGTTGTTTAGGGCTCCCCGGAAGCCCAGACAATTTGTTCCTGACTTAAGGGGTAGCTTGCGTGAAAGTTCGTTATCCTGAAATGATGTCTGCTGTTCTTCTATTGTAAGCAATCATAACACATTACAACCTTACCACGAGCAATTCGCACGGTTTACGAAAAAGCCACTTTATGATGCAGGAATAACCAGTTCGTAGTCTGTCCAGCTTTACTTCTTGCTTGTCTGGTCCCAGTGAGTCATATATTTGACAATCCACTCACAAAACGCTTATACAGAGACAACTTTCATGTATGAAGGGATTTTGGAATTTTAGTCCAGATGTCATCCCGATGATCCCCGATGAGGGCAAAATAGTTGAGGTGTTCGGCATTTCAACACAGTGTCTTCACGTGCAAGACAAACTTGGGTTGGAAGTTTTATGCGATCATCACTGCCAAACTCACCACCAATCTTAATAAGGTCCGCTACTTTCAGTAAATCAGAAATTAACTGCCCTCTCACTGGTGCGCACCGTTACCTTAGGCCTTCTGCGCGACAGAGAAACGTTTGCCTACTCATGAGTAGCTGGACAAATCACTGCGGGTGACTACCGAGAAGGTTTCTGCCTGAAAGGCAGCTGAAGAAAAATCAGTTTAGACACTTCGTCACAAATTCTGATTCATTCCAATAACAAACTTAACTAACAGGGCTCCAGGTACACCGGACTTCGGACTTTCGGTAGCCTTAAGGGGTTGACTGCTGTGACTTGCTGTCTCAACATCATGATATACTTCCCAAGGAAAATAAATTTCCCACCATTTTTCAGACCTGGTACACTATGAAGTAAACTGTATTTGGAATTACCACACTACTCAAAAGGTTGCTGAAAACTCTTCGACAACCCACGACCGGTTTCGCCCTCCTTGGGGATCCTAAGGTGGGTACAACATAAGGTGGCTTTTGTGGTGCAGTGGACACAATTCAATACTGTTATAAGAGAGGAATTTAGCCGACCATTATTTGAATCCCCTGTTAACACTGACTTAATTTGCGGATGAGTGATTTTCTGTACATATTATCTTTGTGCATAATATATCTTGTGGGGAACGAACCCCGATCAGTAATATGGTCTCGCAGTTGTATAAATTGTTTGGATATGCAAGCCATTGATGTCCATCCGTAAACCTTTTTTGATATGCTGGTTTCTAAATAGCCCCCAAGGCGTACACTCTCTGGCAACGGAAAATTGTCGAGTAATGGGTTGATAGATGTTCTTCAATGACAGACGCTGCAGACCGATTAATCCTGTTTCCACTGTCCAACACACAGAATTTTCGGCTCTGTTTCAGATACCATATCGCCCTAACTTGTCCCAACTGAGTCGAGAAGAGAAATTTGTCACAGATTGTATCGAAGCTTGCTGGGCTGAAAAACCTCTTGACCGACCCACTATCAAGGTGAGACCATTGTACTTCCCGTGTACTTTTTTAACAGGAGTCGCATGGCACGGTATAACCTGATTTCATTTGATCAGGAATTTTGTCATGGTGGATGGAACGGAATCATTCTATCGAGATATATTTATAAAGTGAAAGCAGTTGGCCCAGGAAAATCAATACATATAAGAATATCAGACCCAGGGTGCTGGCACTCACTAACTCATTCACCGGAATTGTAAAAAGCCGGTCATTTATTCGATTATCCATCAATAGCTGGATACGTTAGTTTTAGCTGAAAGTCTCCCGTGAAAACCATATTGATTTGCAAATGAGTGTATTTCTCGAAAACAGTTCGATTTGGGTTCAATTAGAACATAAGGTTAACGGAAACTCGGGGACTGCGCCTACCTGATGAGCCCGAACTGGAAGGGCGAAACCAGTCGTGGATTGTCGAACATTTTTCGGCAACCTTGTGATTAGTTTCCTTTATGAAAAAAAAATGACCTTGTTGCTCTATGCTC